CAGACCCTGGTCCTGGCACCTACCTACCCTTCACGACCGCGCAGCCCCATGGGTGAGGTCGCAGCGTAGGGAGGCAAGGCTGCAGAAAAGGCAGGGAGGAGACCCGAGTCCGTGGGGGCGGAGCTCGGGCACGAAGAGGCCTACCTGCTCTCTTCAGGCTGTGCACGCCCATCAGGCAGATCATGACCATCTGGAAGACGAGGAGGTCCGGGAGAAAAGCATAGCCACTCTCACACTCCTCCTCCTCCTCACTGGCCAGGCTGAGGTTGGGGGAAGAGGGCAGGTAGAAGAGACAGAGGTTGAAGTCCTCCAGGACCGACTGGCAAAGCGCTGTGAGCTCCGAGTCCACCGAGCTGTGGGAGAGTGGGGACAAGAGGAGGTCAGTGCCAAGGTCCGGCCGGCAAGACTCAGAAACCAGGGAGCCTCCTAAGTGTAAGGGGGAGACTTGGGAGGGCGCAGCAAGGGGAACACGCAGACACAGCACAAGAGGCAGCCATGCACGCCTCCATGCATAAGCCACGGAGCACCCACTGTGTGGGGGACAGGCACACAGGGAAGCCAGCAAAGGACTCGCTGGGCAGAGAAGTGTCCAATGAGACAGAATCTCTGCCCATCCTATTCCCTCCCCACAAAAGCAGCTGTCCTGCATGGGCACTGGGCTTGGCTCATGTGCGTCCACAGGTCCACTCACCTGCTTTTGGGCTGCAGCAGGCTCTGAAGGTACATGAAGTTCACCAGCAACCTCTTGATGTCTTTACAGCTGAAAGGACAGGAGCCCCAGGTTAAGTACTCATCGGCCCCGAGTCCCCTGGGTCCCACCACACCAGCTGCATACAGAGCCAGGCCCCACTCACCGCTTCTTACTGGGCGAGAGTTTCCGAGTCTCATTCTTCTTCAGCTGATGGTACATTTTGGCTGCCTTGTCACACAGCCGCTTGAGGTTCCCATAGGCGCCCTCAAAGGAGACTTCTGACTGGATGCTGAAGTGGGGCAGAGGGGAAAGGTCATGCCACCGGGCCTTAGGGAATGGAGCTGTAAGTAAAGACTAGCAAAAGGCAGTGGCCATCAGGTTACTTCTGACTCAAGGCAACCTCACGAGTTAGGTGGTGATCATCAGGTTGGCAATGCCTGGGTTTCTCAGGAGTCACTGCCAGGCCCGTGGGTGGACTCAAACTTCCGGTTGAGCACATTGTTGGTGCAACTCACCAGGGACGCCAGCGAGCGTATCAATCCATGCTGCCCCTTCTCAGCTTCCACATTCATGCCCCGGAGTGAAAGACCACAGCTATCTTCTTCTGACCAACTCCCACCTACACAACCGCTTCCGGATGAGCGTGGATGCCGTGTCCCATGTCCACAGAGGGACAGTCCACTGAGACGCTACAAACTGCTCTAGTTGCCCCCAGTCAGTTTTGACAGGTGGCAACCTGAGGAACAACAGGACGAAAGGCATCCTGGCTGGGGGTCCCCAGGTTACAGCCCAGGAAATGGTTTTCAAATGAACGCCGTGGGCGAGGTGGCCAGTCTGGACTGATCCACAATCAAAGAAACGCATGCTCTGCCGACCCCCAGGGGCGAGGCCAAGTTTCCTTGGCCGGGTGAACAAGGGCCAGAACTAGGGCCAGGGCCCGGGGCCCTGCAGGGCAGAATGGTTAAGAATCATGCTGGTGTTTGGGCACCGACCAGGTGACGGTGGTCCGTGCTTCAGTTTCCCGGGCACCAGCGTCACTTAACCAACTGTATCTACCAGCCGGGGGTACATTGGGTCATGGTGGCTCAGTATCCTGACTGAGCCTCATCCACCGTGTCTGGTCCCGGTCTGAGGCCAGCCCTTCTGAGGCAGGACTGCACCTGCCCGCTGAGCCGCCCCCCAGCTCAGTGTGTCACGAGGAGAGGGGGCGCTGCGTCCCTTCCATTGTCTAGACACCGAGCTCCGTGTCTTACCTCCTGGGGTCTCTAAACCATTGCGCTATTGACCTGGTGCAGGAGAGGAAGGGTCAGCCTGTGAACCATGTGGCCAGGGGCCCAGGAACAACTGCCTCCCTTACCATGAGACCCCAAGAACTGGATTGTGCCTGGCCGCTGTTTCTGAGCATTTTGAAAAAAGATCCTACAGAGGAATGCCAATCAAGAGGGGGGACATGCAGAGGAGAATGACCAATTCTCATGGATGCCAGGCTGTCCAGGGCCACGGAGGCTGGATGAAACTCTCAAACAACTGATCTGAGATTCCCTTTAGAACCTGACGTCTCCTTACACAAAGAAATCTAGTCTCACGGACAGATAAAGCGCCTGTTTTGCGCATCAGGCTCTTGTGAGAACCACCCATGTGGATCAAATTGCAACAGCACCTCAAGAGGTGAGCTAGGAACCTTGGGGCGGGCCATGGTTTCTGCTCACGGAAAGGGGCAACTCAGAAGAGGAGGGTGGGAGTGGCTGCAGGACCAGAAGCTTGTGAGCAACGTCACCAGACTGGACAGGAACAAATGGCTGGCGCAAGAGAGCAGAGCCCTAAAACTCGGAATTTCTTAGCAGAGGCCTCCTTGGTTAACGTCTCATCAAACGGATGCCCCATCTCAGGACGAGAGCAATCCTGTGTTTTGTACAGGTGGGGTCAGCGAGTGAAAAGCAGCAGCGCTGTGTGGGAGCGCCCAGGCCAGGACTCCCCCGGTTTAGTCTTCCTCTATCATCGGAGCAGGGACTGGAGAAGGGAAGCAGGAGAGAAAGCAAAGCGAAGCCAGCTTCTACTCACCAGCGCAGGTAGCAGTACATGGCTTCCACGTTATAGTACTTGCTGCCTGCAAGGGTGCCCAGCTGGTTGAAGGGCATTCCTGGTGAGAAAGGGAGCCACACAGTGTGAGACCACGACAGCCCGGCCCAGCCAATGCTAGGCATCGGGGGCACGTGGGGACAGCAGTGGAGCTTCAGGCAACACTAGTGTCCCACGTGGTCAGTAAGTAGCTTCAATCTTGTCTCCCCAGGGGATTGCGGGTCGCTTCTCGCTTCCTGAGTCTATTCCCGTTTGGCCTACCGCCGTCACTGGCATTGAAGGGGGGCCTAAGGAGACGGTACTCTCCTCTCCCTCCCCAGCTCGGTCTCTCCCCTGAGCGCTCCTTCCCCATCTCGCCCTGTAATGGAGTCTTATCCCTTTTCTCACAAAGTGTGATCTTCTTCCTAGGGAGACCTCAGGGGCAGAGAAGCCACCATCATCTTCTCTCTCTTCTGCCTCCCCCGCTCCCTTAGGTCAAGACTTGCTCATTCCTCTTCCCCTTCCAGCATCTCCTGAGGGTGTTCGAGGAGGAGGAGGGGGAGGAAGACGCGTGACCAGAGAGAAGTGAGCCGAGGAGGAGGGGAGGAGCCAGGGCAAGGTGCAGACGACCCACCTGCCGCCTCAACAGCATCTTCTGGGAAAACACTGCTGGGCTGGGAGGCCCGAGCAGGCGCTCACTCACCAATCTGGGGCGCTACCGACAGGGCCTGGTAGTAAAATCGCTCAGCCAGCAGCTCGGTGTCCACGCCAGCTAATTCATTCTGATACCGTGCTGCGAGAGAGAAGGGGGCGGATGGGACGGTTCCAAGTTTCAGAAAACCCCCCTCTTCTGGGAGTCCACTCTGAGGAGCTGTAATAGAGCCTAGGAGGAAGATACCTGAGCTAGGAGGCAGGTTGCTTGGGTCTCTGGCAGTCTTAAATCTGCATGACTATGGGCAAATTGTTCAACTCTCTCTTCCTTGCTGGGAAGTTCAAAATGTACAGATTACTTAGTGTCTGCAAGGCCACACGCTCCTCTTGCGTCTCTGCCCAGGGGCGGGAGCTGCAGCACGTACAACAGCCCGGGAGGACCTAGGCTACTTAGTCTGAGAAGCACTGCCCGCTTCTAGAGGGAAGACATTCCCTCCTGACGGCCAGGCGAGCGGGCTGGTGACAGGAGAGCAGCCCGGCGGTCACTAAACCATCATATACCCAGCAGCCACACAAGGAACCTCCGTCTCTCCCAACGGGGACCCAGGGACCACAAGGGAGCACTGTCTCCTTCCCAGAAACACCTGCCAGCCCTCAAGACTTCGACAACCCTTCAGGCCCGGAAGTGAATTCACGCTGGTGGCTCAATTTCCAGCCAAACAACAGACATGTCTACAGGGGGACAATGCCATGAGGGAGCTGAACGCTCAGAAAAGTCAACCATTTGCGATCAAAAGGGCAGCATTCACCCAGGGACAAAGTTCACAAGGCAGGAAGAGCTAGGGGAGGAGGACTGGAAACAGGAAACAGAGACGGACGGAGAGCAAGGCTCGGAGCGGCTCCTGTGCTCCAGTCACAGGGCGGGAGGGGCAAACCACGGAGGCAGTGGGGGAAAAGCAAAGAGGCAGTTCTTACACAAATCCCCCAGGTACACGAGACATCGGTGGCAGGCCATCTGTGCCCAATCCATCTCCTTCCCCGAGGCAGACACTGGCTTCTTGCACCCTGCGAGAGAGACAGCGAAAGGGAAGTGGAGGCAGGAGACCAAATCCTGGCTGGCCTTGGGCCACTGTCCCCTGGGGCAGAGCAGACACACTGAGGACACAGGCGCTCAGAGCAGGATTCACTCCCGGACTAGAAGGAACTGGAAGAGGAGAGCCAGGGCCCTCCACCTGGGCCAGCTCTCTGGGGAAAGCCTTCCAGAATGGAGACAGAGGTGAGGCTCAAGGCACGGGAGCTCTGGGCAGAAGTAACCAACAGAAAGGTAAGAGGTGTAGGTAAAGGCGGGAAGAACACAATCGGAATGAGGCCGAAACAAACGCTCCTGGCCTCTGCCTAGTGGGGAAGGGCCACGGAAAAGAAGGCTTGTGAGGAGGATACGGGACGTGGCCTTGCCCAAGGAGGCTGGTCCAACCCAAACATGCCTGAATGCTCGCCCTGCCTGCCCACGCCGCTCCATCGGGGGAGCCTGAGCCCTTTCCCACGGTCCAGGAGCTCCTCCAGGTTTCCCTGGTTTACAACACCAACTTAGCCACTCCTCACGGCAACCCACGAGATCATTTCACCATCACACGGAGGTCACAGAGGGCTCCGCGGCATTGGCAGGACTAGGAAGGCACCTGCTCTCCCAGGCAAGCGGCTCCCCGCTCCCCCCGCCGAGTGTTCTGCTGAGCTGACTCCCGAGGAGAAGACCAGAAGATGAGCACAGGAGAAGGAAGCCGAGGGCGACCAAGAAAGGAGCCTGGGAACCAGCCTTGGAGGGGACGGCGCTTAACCTTATTTTCAGGTGTGGGTCCCAGGGCCGCCACCTGGTAAAGCCTATGATTATCTCGATAATGTTTGCTTTTAAAGTATTTTAACACCACCCCCCTCAAACAAAAGTTCACAGCAACACAAAGAAAACCAACTACTCGGAGAAACTTACAGCCTCTTAAAAAAGGAAGGAAAATATTCCTCAGCAACCCCAAGTCAATGACAAACTTTTGCACTATGACCCATAACCCAGGACACAGTGCAGCCCTTCTGGATCATCCCACTTCACACAGCCCTCCCTGCAGGAGCAGGTCCCCCACTTTGGGAAACACTAGAGGGGGCCACGCCAGAGAACAACAGAAAAGGACAGGAAACTACGGCAGCCAGCTCCTCAGCGTCTCCGCCGGCAGAAACGGGCTTTTACTATCTTGAGGCAATATCCGTAATTTCCCTAACATCTTAAAAACATCAAACATCGGGAAAGAGGCTCTAACGTCAGAGTGAAATAAACAGTGCAGGCTAAACTAGCCTGAAAAAGAGCTAAGAGAAAAGAAATGCTATTGACGCCCTCCTGCAGTGCCACATCTACTCTAGAACCACAGCCCTCCGGACTGCATCAGACTGCAATGACTGGGCGGCCTCTCTCTCCGTAACCTCGTCTGGAGAAAGCACAACTGCCCCGAACATCCACAGGTCGTTAGAACACCCTCTGCCTGGCTGGGTCACAAACTGCACAATCCCCGAGGGCTGAGCGGGCTGGAGGCAGAGGCATGTGACCCCGCTCCTCAAGCACACCTTGCGGATCTCACTGACCTATGAGGGGGTCGGTGACGTGGGTCCAGTCGATGCAGCATTGCAGTTCAAGCTGGTAGTGGGACTGGATATAGAGAAGGAGATGCTGGTAGAACCCAATACCAGCAACTAGGTGTGTCCTGTAGGCACATTCCAAGGTGCTCCGGCTGTGGATGTGCTGAGCATGGGAAAGGGGAGAGGACGACTAAGCACCAGGCGCAGCCTAGCCCCTGTTGCCCATTGAGGAAATGCACGGGCAGCACCTTCCCAACTCCAGAATGGCACACAGCTTCTCTCACTCACCCATCACCATCCGCTTAGACCCGTCTCTTTGGTTTCCCCCTCTGGGAACAGGTCCCCCGCCTTCTCTGAGGCTAACCAGGCCTGCCTGCTACTCTGCCTTCTCTTCCTTGGCTCCTCTACCCCTCTAACTTTGCCCACGCTCTGGCCCACTTTCTCGCCATCTCTTCTGTCCTTAGCTGTCCCCCTTAAAACAAGTTCCTTCCCAAGGGCTAGGCCCTTCCCTTACCTTTTTGTTCGTCTTGATAAGCTGGATAACTTCATAGTACACCTTTCTCCACAGCAGCTCCTCTGCCTTCCTCCCATAGTCCACTGGGTGCAGGAACATAAGCTTGACGCAGAGTTCACGCAGCCTGGGAGGGTGCAGAGGAGCATCAGAGATGGTCTTGTGGTGGGGGGCACAAGGACTGAGGGTAAGGGGCTAACTGCCAATATACCCACCCATGAATCTCTGGGACTCCCCCAAGGAGGTATTGCCCCCCAAAGGGTCAATATGACCCAAGATGATACACGTCCAGGAAAGTAGGACAAGGGGCATGGGGAGGAAGGTGTCTCCAGAAGTAAAGGTAGGAAGCAAGAGCAATTCTAGTCATCTCCATTTTCCTCCCTTATCTGTGTCTTGTTTTTTACCCCCTCTTTCACGTCATTATGCAATACGGCCAACTCCCACCACTCAAATGCTATTCCTGCGGTGCCAGGCTACTAGATGCAGAGGCTGCAGGTGTGCTGCGGAAGGGCAGAGCCTTGGCAGCCCACCACGTCCCACGAGTCGGGGTGCCCGCAGAGGTCTCGAGCTGGTGGTGGCTCGCTCCAAGTGTCCAGCTTACTTGTTCCTCAGGCTAATGTTCTCCGGTTTGAACACTTCTTGATAAGCAGTTTTGTTGCAAAGGATGAGGTCAAGTCGATGCACGGCCTCCACCACAGCCCTGCAGGGAAGAGGGATGGACAGCATGGCACACAGGATACCACCAGGTGCCCGGTCTCCAGAGAAGTTAAGGGATTCAGAGTGGGGCAACCAGGAGAAGGTGGGAGGCTGGTGCCTGGACAAAACACGCTGGAGAGTTTCCATCCTGAGGCAGCAGGCGCCTGGGCTCTGGGTCACCCCACAGTGCGACTATGACAAGAAGGCAGAGATACTGCTACACCCTGTACCGTGCACAGGACAGCCCTCCACAACCAAGAATTACGACCCCAACGTCAATAGTATCAAGGTAGAGACTCAGCACACCCCACTCGGGGATACCATGAAGACAGACTGGGGTCTCAGCCCTGGCTGTGTCTTACCGACTGTGGCTCTGGGTAAACTCCTGATCATCACAGCTAGCACAGAGGATTGTTGTGAGGATAAAATTAAGTAATACACACACAGCCCTGGGACACAATAGGCACTCAATACATATTGGTGGATGAGTGAGTTGTTATTATGCAAGGGGCTATTATGGGACATAAAGGGAAGGCATAAAATTCTAGTAAGAAATTCTGCTTTAAAATTGGGAGGTTAGGAAATTCAAGATAGGTGAATCTACAGACAGTGACTGGATTAATGGTTCCTCAGGGTTAAGGCAGGGGAAGTTGGGGGGGAGGGGGGCAATGGGAACCAACAATAATGGGTATAAGAATGAAGAAAATGCTCTAAAATTGGTGCATGATTCTTTTTAACATACTTAAACTACCGAATTTTACGGTCTATGAATTGCATGGCAATAAAACGTAAAAAGAAATGAGAAACCCTCCTCCGAAAGATAAAAGAATAGTGCGGTAGAAACAGGAGGAGGAGGAGGGCAGACAGATGAACCCCTCAAGAACAGTAATGGGAGTAGCGACACCACACAGGGCAGGGGGAAGGTGGGGGGAGGAGGGGGAGAAACAGGGAACCGACTTCCATGATCGACATATAGCACCCCACACACACACCAGAGGACAAACAGCAAAAACGTGCGCAAAGGAAGACAGCAGACAGTGTAAAATGTGAAAATAATAATTTATAATTCATCGGGGTCTAGAAGGTGGGAGGATGAGGGAGGGTGGGGAAAAGAGACGCTGATACCAAGGGCTCAAGCAGAAAGAAAATGTTTTGAAAATGATGGTGGCAACATACATACAAATGTGTTCGACACAATGGATATATGGATTGTGATAGGAGCTGTAAGAGCTCCCAATAAAATGATTTATTAATTTTTTAAAAAGAAAAGACAGCGGAGGAGGGGACCACAGTCTCACCACGGCCTCCAGCCCCCTAGATTCCACTAGAGAAACTGCTTATCTTCCCGCTCAGAGTGGAGGCTCTGGAACCAGACTGCCTGGTTTCAAATCCTGGCTCAGTTTCTTACCAGCTAAATGGTCCTGAGCAAAAATATCCAACTTCCTTCTTTCAGTTCTCCATCTAGAAAATGGGGGTAATGAGATCATCTCACTTGTAAGGGAAAGGACATCATGCTTGGTGAAGCTGAGGAGCAGTGGGAAAAAAAGAGAGCACTGGAGAAACTGGCAGTGGACGCACCCACGGGAACTGTGACGATGACCCAGGGCCGGTGGTCTGTGCTGTTGTACCGACTTGCTGGCACCCAACACCACCAGCAAGCTCGTAGGGTGTAAACGAGCCAGTACACATACGGCACTCCGGGCAGCGCCTACAGCACGCTAAGTGCTCAATAGGCATTAGTCTCCATCCTGCTAAGGCTGAGCGTAAACCCAGACACTCCAGGAGTCCGTCTGTCACCACAGCAAAGAAAGGCCACAAAATCCACAATGAGGGCCAAAACGGGTGGGTGACACTTCCAGGAGGGTAAAACCGAGGATGACTGGCTATAATGGAAGAATCCAGCAGGGCTGAGGAAACCAAACCCAAACCAGAAAACTGGGAATGATGACTTCCCCACACAAACCAACCTATGCTGCTGGTCCAGGTGGCCCTGGTGGCCTGCAAAGGAGATGGTGACCACAGGCACCCAGCTGAGTAATCCAGGCTTTCTCCTAGGTAATGTTTGGGGGGTCTGCCTTGAGGTGGCAACCAGCCTGGTCCTCGATCCAGGGCCAGCACCAGTTGGGCACCAGCAATTTCCCCTAGGCCACAGTCTCCAGGGCAGGGCTTCTTAAGCTCCAGGCCAGGGAGAGATCCAAGGTGTTGATGCTTGTGTGCATGTGTTTCTGTTTACGGAGAAGCTCCAGAGTTCTCTGAGTCTCAAGCCCCCAAATGGTTAATTATCACCATTCTAGAAAGTTCTAATTTTAAGCCTTGAAATCTGAGGCCAGCATTCTTCCCCAGCACTCATCACCGAGCTATACATCCTCCACTACCTTGTCTCTCATTCGCTACTAGAACCTGGTACAGTGGTACAAAGTCTTCACAAGACGTTCACAAGACGTTGCTCTTGGGCAGAGAAGTCAGACCTTCCCTCCCCAGCTTCCCTCCACCAAGCACCCCCACCAGCCACCTCTAGCTGTAACAAATGATAACAGAGGTGGGCTGCCCCTGATTTTCCTACCACACAGTTACAGGTGGAGAGCCATGCGCACACATGCAAAGCCACCAGCTTCGGGTGGTGACTGTGAGGGTAGTGGCTACAGAAGGTTTCAAAATGACAAGAAGGATGACCAGAGCTGGAGGCGAGGCAAGAACGCTGCAGATGCTGCCCACGCGCTGCCTGACAGGCAGTGCTAACACTCAGCAGCATGAGGAGGCACACGTGCCGCCCCGGCTCCCTCCTTACTTGCCTGGGGACCGCTTGGGGCAGCCCAAAAGCTGCTGGGTTGGATCACTCTTCTATTTTTGGAGTGGCCTATGTTCCCCTCTGCCTCCTAGCTTACAAAGCTAAAGCCTGGCAGGATGTCTGCTCAGGGAAGAAACATGACAACATGCCCTTGACCCTTTCACTGCCAAGATGGGGGCCGAGGCTCAGGCAGTAATTTCCCCACAGGCAGACATCTCTGGTCTACCACTGCCTGAAAACCCAAGCTCTCCTCCTTCCCCAAGGACAAACGACTCCGGTCAGTCTCCAGGCTGCATCCTAACCTGCTCCAGTTCTGGAGCCCAGGTTCCACTGGGAACCCAGGCTGGAAAAAGCTCCCGCTGGCTTGTTCCCACGGGGGGGCTGATCCCTGTTCCCATGGGGAGGCACGGCAAAAAACAGACACCAGGACTGGAAGGTGCCTGCCAAGACACTACAGTCATGGGGCTGGGAGAACACAGGACCCAAGAGTCCCCGAGTCCCCTGAAGCTGCCTTTCCTGTCCAAAGAAAACCGTGAACCTTCTGGGCCAACCCAAGGTGCTTTTCAGCACGTTACTTAACATTCAGTCGCCTGAAAACTGAGAGTCGGTAATGACTTCCTGAGCTCATCCAATCCGAGTCACTCCTTTTAAGGACAAGGAAACTGAGACTCAAGGTCACACGGTCAGAATATGGCAAAGCAAGGACCTCACGCTGGCTCCCTTGCCTTCAGGGCTGGAGGCTCTTCCCTGGGAAGTCCTACTCGCAGGAATCCCCGCAGGGTTCTAAGCACCCTTCCCTTCCGGGTTTGTCCGCATCGGGGGGCCCCACCCTCACCTTCCTAATCCTTCCAGCCCCCGATTCCCATCCTTGCAGCACAAATCCGCAAAGCTCAGGGCCGCCCCAAGCTCACAGCGGAGGGGATCCCTCCACGTGCTTCCCTCCAAACCTCCCACCCACCCAATTCCTCTATCCAGCACCGTCCCGGCCACGGAGCCCCGCCCCTCCGCTCCCTCCAAAATTGCACCCTCCACCCTCGCCCGCACCTCGGGCCAGCACCTGGCCCCCGCGGCCCCGCCCATCGCTGCCTCCCCACCCGCCGGCCCCCCACTTCTCCAGGCTGCTGCACTGAAGCCCCGGCCCCTCACCGGTAAAGTCGCTTAGTGTGGAGGACCTTTGCTTCGGGCTCGCTGCTCTCCCCTGCTGGGGGGCCTTGGCTCATGGTGCCCGGGTCCGGGGACGGCTCCCGGTCACAGGCCCCCGCCGCCACCCACTGCTACTGCCACCATTGCCGTCTCCGGCCGTAGCCGCAGCCGCCACCGCTGCCGGCCCTGCTCGGCCGCCATCGCTGTGAGGCGGCTGCCCGCGACAGCTCCTCCTCCGCCTGCCAAGTCTCGCGATAGCAGTCACCGAGTTGCAGGCCAGTGCCCGCTGCTGCCAAATCTCGCGGAACTCGTTTTCCCTCCCGGGAAGTTGCCCGAACTAACTCTGGGCAGCATAGCCTCTATCCGCCTTCTCCAGGTGTTCACGAAAAAACTTTATTGACAAAAGTGCCGGAGAACGGACAGTGTACTCAGGGAGGAGGCTGATGCTAAGCGGCATTGGGCCCGGAGAGCACACAGTTTGGAACGTCCAGTGGCTCTTTGGATCATTCCTCTCCATTTGAGCTGAACCTCTTTCAGATTAGTAGAGGTGTTTTATTATTATTAGTTATGATCATTAATTAGAGTGGCTTCCATTTATTTCCCCCCAAAATTAACAAATAAAAGAACGTTAAAAATTTCTTGGAAGGGGCAGAGAATCGCCTATTAGTTAAGCCAGTAACACATGACTTTTATAGAAGCACCTCATCATCCTTCGGCACCTGCTCCCAAAGATTTCTGCCTTGGTTATCTCTCACATAAGCCCTGTGAACATTTCTTGAATACCTACTGTCGTCTAACCATTGTGCTGAGGACATTGACTCTGCTTTCACAGTTTCAAATGACTTCAGGGATCAGATCCCACAGAAATAAGAAGTCCCTCCGTCCCCCTAGATCACTCGCTATAATTTGGGTCCCTATTGCCCTCTTACCTTGACTACATTCGAAGACAAGGTGCTGCGAGGCCACTTGATAGGTTGTAATGAAAACATAAATTCCCCTTCCGCCAACTTTGCCCTTGGCTCCAGCCACCTAGCTTTCTTCCTGCTCCTTAAATAGCCTAAGTCCTTCCGATCTGTTGGCCTTTCACTTGCTGCTCCTCTACGTGGAACACTCCTTCTTCTGATTTCCCATCAGGTCTCTGCTCAAATGCCACCCTATGAAAGAGGTTTTCCTTACGGAATTGTCTTAATGGCTTCATTGCTAAGCATTAGCCAATGCTCCAGTAGGACATGGGCCCAGGGACATTTGCTGTCACTTTACTCTATGTTAGGGCTTAGAATAGTGCCTAGTTAATAATAGGTGTTCAATAAATATTTACTGAATGAATAGGCGTGCAAAATCCTACCTCTTTTTTAAAAAAAATCATTTTATTGGGGGCTTGTACAACTCTTATCACAATCCACAATCATACATCTATGGTGTCAAGCACATTTGTACATTTGTTGCCCTCATCCTTCTCAAAACATTTGCTTTCTACTTGAGCCCTTGGTATCAGCTCCTCATTTTCCCCCTCCCTCCCCGCTCCCCCTCCCCCCCTCCCCCACCCATCCTACCTCTTTTGGGGGCATTCCAACCTATTCCAATTACCAATGAATACACAAATCCACTTGCCCTCCTCTGCTTTCCTGGGAGCCCCTACACATTCCACATGCTTTAAAAAAACAAAACAAAACGCATTCATGTACACGACCAGCTAACCCCCTACTTTCAGAAAGGATGAAGTCTCTCTCTAAGGCTTTTTCCGTCGGCCAACTCAGCTGGGCGGGGCCTGCCCCTTTAATCTGGGCCCCACCTGCTCTGGTCAGACAGGTTTGGAGACACAAGTAAAGGGAGAGGGAGAGAGAAATACTTGTAGTCAGCAAGGAACTGGGCAGCTCCTTCTCAGACAACGCTGAGGAACCCTCCACCTGTCTCCTGATGGAAAGTAAGAGGAGTTCAGGGGTCTAAACTGGGCAGAGGAGTTAGAGGGTCCTTAAGGATGAGGGGGCAGTAAGGTGGAGAGTTAAGGTGGAGAGCGGGGAGGAAGGCTGGAGAGGAAGCATGTGAAACAGCCCTGATTCAGTCTGAAAGTAGGGAATGCATAGATCCAGCCCTGTGGAGGTACTGGAAGTGGGCAAGAGAGGAGTCTGGGACCGAACCCCCAGAATGGAGCCATGGAGACCAGAGTGTCCTGGGACAGCTAGTTCCTTGGGGCAGGTTTTGTTAGCAAGTATCAACTTCCTACCCCTTCCGACTTTGAGACCCAAAGTTGCTGGTATCAACTGCCAGGATGGTTCCAAGTGGTGGACGGAGGGGCAAAGGGATGGTGGAAGATGGGGTTGGGGGCAGCTTCTCTGGTCACAGGAAGGCTCTTCCTGGGAAAAAAACCCTTGACAAAGTCTAGATGCCTCTTCTTTCTCCTGTGCCTGGATTAGGGTGGTCAGGCGTTTTGGTGGAGTGGGGTAGAAGGAGTAGATGGACTGGCTGGGGTCACAGCTGCCAGGACCTGTCTGTGCCCCCTGACTCACCCGCCCGGCTGGTTGGCATTTGATGTTGAAAGAGCCTCCGTTTGAACGGCCCACTTCCTTCCCACCTTCCTTTGTTTTAACCAGGGCTCCCAAACCTGTTCATTCTGTCTGCCCCTTTGCTGAGAATCTGCATTTCCACCCCCAGAAAGACTGGATCTGAATCTACATTTTAACAAGAGTCTTATAGATCCCCAGGTCTAAGGTCCCAGAAGGGGCTCAAGCCCAGGAGGGGGCTGCCCTGAAAAATTCCAGTTCTGTCCTCAGGGCTAGGGGACAGGGGCTTCTCACGGAGCTTTCTTCTGCTCCCTCCAGGGTGACATTACCTCGCTGTAGAGCCCAGAGCGGAGACCTCAGGATGACAGAACCTGAGACGGTGGCCCTGCTGGAAGTGAAGGGGTCTGAGACTCCAGAAAAGAGCCTCCCTCAAGCCTGGGTGCCAAATGGCCAGCAGTCGGAAGGGGAAGATGTGGCTGAGTCTCCGAGAGCTGAATCCCCCAGAATGGAGTCTTCCCTTGGGTCTCCCATGGCTGGAGAGGTGACGGAGGCTGGTCTAAACAGCGAGGATGGTCTAGACAGTACCGTGAGCGAGGCTGCCACCCTGCCCTGGGGGACTGGCCCTCAGCCCAGTGCCCCGGTCCTGGACCCCCCAGGCTGGCGGGTCATTGAGCCAGAGCCCCTTGAATCAGAGCCACCCACCAAGTCAGAGGAACTCCCTGAAGATGACGCCAACCTGCTGCCGGAGAAGGCGGCCCGGGCCTTTGTGCCCATTGACCTCCAGTGCATTGAGCGGAGGCCCCAGGAGGACCTCATCGTCCGCTGCAAGCCGGGCGAGGCCGAGCGCCGGGCCATCCTGCCCACCCGGGCCACCCTCCCCGAGCCCCTGGAGCGCAAGTGGGCCGAGGCAGTGGTGAAGCCGCCTGGCCGGTCCTGTGGTGGCTGCAGGAACCGTGAGGGGCTCAGGGCCGTGGCCTCGGTAGGGGCTGCCCTGGTCCTCTTCCCCGGCCTGCTCTACGGGGCGTACGCCTTCCTGCCCTTCGATGCGCCCCGGCTGCCCACCATAAGCTCCCGCCTGGTCTACACGCTGCGCTGCGGGGTCTTTGCCACCTTCCCCATCGTGCTGGGTGAGCTCGGGGACCCCTTTACAAGAAAGAGGGGCGTCTGGGGACGGGACCTCTCACCCACGCAGCACCCTCAGGGATTCCCACGTGCTGCCCCGCTGGGCACTACTTCCCCACCTTCCTCTCCAGCCCCCCCTGCCCGCCCCTCCGCCGCTGCAAACCCCGCCCCCGGCGTCTAGGGTGCAGCGCCCGCCTCTCACCCTCCCCGACCCTCCTGTGCTCCGGCCCCCAGGCATCCTGGTCTACGGGCTCAGTCTGCTGTGTTTCTCTGCTCTCCGGCCCTTCGCGGAGCCGCGGCGGGAGGTGGAGATCCACCGGCGATACGTGGCCCAGTCGGTGCAACTCTTCATCCTGTACTTCTTCAACCTGGCCGTGCTCGCCACCTACCTGCCCCAGGACACCCTCAAGCTGCTCCCCCTGCTCACTGGCCTCTTTGCCATCTCCAGGTGAGTTGGGACAGGGGGTGGAATCTGGCGGGGGGCGGGAGGGAGGAGTGGTGCTAGACTGGGGACAGGGCTTTCTGGAGTCTCTTTCTAAAAAAAAACAAAACCAACCAATCCACCCCACCTCACTGCCTTCCAGGCCACTCTGACTCATAGTAAGTAGAAGAACCGCCCCTGTGGGTTCTCAAGGCTGGGGATCTTTATGGGAGCAAAAGCCTCCTCTTTGCCCTGAGGGGCGGCGGCTGGTGGGTTTGAACCGCTTCCCTGGTGGTAGCAGTCCACCGTGTAGTCCACGAAGGCCCCACGGCTCCTGCTGGACTCCCATCAGCCCAAACGTGCATCCGAGAGTCGTGAGGTCCGTCCACTTTCTCCCCTGCACCTTCCCTCACCTGGACGCGGGTGATGCGCTCCAGGTCTTGCCCTGGGCAGGAGGCTTCAGGCATCCTCTGAATCACCTGGGACTTCTAGATCCAGACTTCCGGCATCCTCGAGCTCACACCGCCCCCCCCACCCCCTCCACCCCCGCCCCGCAGCCAGCACTCTCTTTAGCTGGCCGGTGGCCTTGGGTTGAACTGAAGGTACTCAGTTCTTTGTAAGGCAATCGTTTCACTTCGTAAAGGTCATCATTTTTTAGAAAGGAGCCCTAGTGACACAGGGCTTAAGTGCTCAGCGGCTCATTGAACTGCGGAGGGGACACGCCCACCAGGTGTGCGCAGGAGAAAATACCTGGTGATCCCCTAGCGCAAAGTTTACAGGCTGGAAAACCCGAGGGGGCTTTCTGCTGCATCATGCCGGCTCTCAGGGAGTCCAACACGGACAATTGTTCAAAAGCAGTCCCCGGGTTTTGACCACGAGCGCAAAGGTGGGCAGTTTGAACCTCCCCAGTGGCCCCACGAAAGAAAGGCCTGGCGATCTGCTTCCCTAAAGATTACAGCCAAGGACCCCCACCCCCAGCGCTGCCGCTCAATTCTACTTTGTAACACAGGGGCTGGCCATCAGTTGGCAATGATTCCATGCGTTGTTAGAACGTTTTTCTTTCTGTTGGGCTAAAATCTGTACCTCTGATCCTAACCTCTGGAATCCCCTCAGGCAAATACAGATATTTGACCAAAGTTCTCTAGTCCCCCCTGAGCTCAACATCTCACTACCCCGTCTCTTTACTTTGCTCACTGCCCATGTGCCTTCTCTCCGCAAGAAATTCTCCTGCTTGTCAGTGGGGACCCTTTAAGGGTGCTGTCCTTCTGTCTGTCCACCCCTTGCCCACATTAGGCCAGATGGCCTCATTGCTTTCCTTTCATTCGGAGCCTGAGGGATTCCCGGGTGTGAACCACTGTTGTTAACCTGGCTGGCACCTTTGAATTTCTGAACCCAGAGGCCTTTCCAGTCTTCCTTTCCATGTGCGTTTCTTCTTACTGGTTCGATACAGGCTTACAGGGGATGCTAGCTGCTAGAATATCCCTCTTTATGAGTTGAAACCTGCTTGTCACTTTGCACTGTAGTTTAGTGGCCGGTTGTTGTAGTATTAAATTAAAAATGGCTCAGGGGGGTGAAGGATGCCAGCCCCACCCACTACTAGAACTCACTGGTTCAGTAAGTACAATTGTACGGTTGAGATATATAAGTATTATATTAGAGTCATCGAGAGCATGAGAGATATTACAATATACAGTCAGACACGTTACATGGCAACATTGCTCACCTCAGCCCAGCATAGTGGTCCACGTGGAGAGAGGGGGAAGGGAAGGAGGGAAAGGGAACAAGGGAGAAGGGGAAGAGAGTCAGGGAGGTCAGAGTCCGAGTGAGAAGTCCCAGAGCCTATATTGCTGACTCATGCCTATATACCTTTTGGGGGCATGCCAGCCCACTAATTACAGGTAGAGACATACGTCACAGGGAGGGGTTACACTATAGGGTACCCAGTAATGAGAGGGTGGTCTCTGGGTCTCCATAGGAACCATTATCAGTAGGGTGCAAACCCCTCCTACAGGAACCAAGCTAATGGTCCCAAGCTTCAGAGAGTAGTCCATTGTCCCCAGCAGCAGGGATCAGGCCCCGCCCTGTGGTGGGAGGAGACAGCGGTCTGGCAGCAAGGGTCTGCCTCCCCCCATAGGTTGTCCCATCAACCGCATCGCCATCATAAAAGTTTGCGTTTTCTCCCAGTAGATGCTTCCTAAGATAAATATCTTCCTACTCAGGGCACTCAGCTCCCCACCTCCCTCTGGAGGAGCGCTGGTCTTGGGTCGAAGTTGGTTTAAGTCAGTGGTTCTCAACCTGCCTAATGTTCCTCCTAACCCCTCATAGTTCCTCATGGTAACCCCAACCATAAAATTATTTTCGTGGCTACTTTATAACTGTCATTTTGCTACTGTTATGAATTGGGCGACCCCTGTGAAAGGGTCATACGACCCTCAAATGGGTCACGACCCATAGGTTGAGAACTGCTGGTTGAAGTAGTGAGCATCATCGGGTACCGAAAGGCAATTACCTGGCCAGCTCTCGGGACCAAGACCCTTCCTTCTGTGCCTTCCGCGTGGGGTGCCTGCTTCATCTCTACACAGTCATGGTGAGGGTAAATGAGCCACTTCCTGCTTGTGTCGTGCTTGCAACAGCCACTTGGTCAGGGTTTGATAAATGTGCTTTCTCATTTTCATGCCAGGCTGCCGGCTCCTGGCACAGTTAGAAACGGCGTTACTCCCCCCCCTCGCCCCTCCCCCTTTCCCAGGGATAAAAGCAGAGACTAGTTCATCTGGTAATAAGTGGTCCGTCCTTCATATGCCATCCTGAGAGGAGGCCGCCTCCTCCCAACCCCCCTGAGGATGTGAATTTTATTTTTCCAAAAGGGGAAGCTTAATGGCTGAAGATCTGTCCCTGTCGGCTGCAGGCCCCCTTGAAGCTGGCATCCCATCTTCTCCCTTTATGGAGTGAACAAGGCAAAGGCCGGGTTGGGTTCAAATCACAGGTAGATGTATGACCTTGAACCAGTCTTCCCTAACTCCCGTGGAACCTTCGTATCTTCATCGGCAAAAGAAATAGGATGAAATGCGCTGACCATAGACAAGAATGAGGAAGTGTCTCTACACAGACATAAAAATGATCTCCAAGCTGATATCAAGTGCGAGAACAATCAGCAACTGGCAGACCTGGCTGTATCGTACACTGCCGTACTTCAGAACCAGGCACTATGTCCATTCGGCATCATTTGAAACCACCACATGGATGGCAGGGCAGAGACTGGGTGGCCGGGAGTCACCAACGGTAGGCAGGCTTTTCATCTTTGCATTGTGAACCGTGTGAATGCATAGGGCCTGACCAATTACTTAAAATTAAAATCTGAAAAACAAGCAAATTCAAAACCATTGCCATCAAGATGTTACCTCATAGTGATAGTGACCCCATGGGGGGGGGCGGGACTGCCCCTGTGGGTTTCTGAGACTGAAACTCTTTATGGGAGTGTCCCCCCCCCCCCCCCGTGGAGCAGCTGGTGGTTTCTAACCTTGGGATTAGGATTAGTTGCCCAGTGTAACCCAGGATGCCACCAGGGCTCCCCAAAAGAGGGAGACAAATATAGTCACTTCGTAGAGATGTGGAGAAGTCTAAATTAAACACTCAAACCTCAAGGTGGGCTGTTTCAAAGGAGGAAGATGAGGCTGCTTGCTCCTGTAGAGATTAGAGTTTGGGACATTTCAACCGTGTCCCAGAGGAATGCCATCAATCTGAATCAACTGGTGGCAGAGTTTAAAGTAATTAGCACAAACCCTGGCACACTGTAAGTGCATGAACACTGATCTGTTCTAGGAACACCAGCCTAACCCAATATCTGCTTCCTTCACTATCTGCTCTCTTGGCACAATGGGATGGGGCAGGATTGTTGTGATGCATAGAGTAGCTGGAACCTTCTTTGCCTCCCCAGGCTGATCTACTGGCTGACCTTCGCCGTGGGCCGATCCTTCCGAGGCTTTGGCTACGGCCTCACGTTCCTGCCACTGCTGGCCATGCTCGTGTGGAACCTCTACTACATGTTTGTGGTGGAGCCGGAGCGCATGCTCACTGCAGTGGAGAGCAGCCTGGACTACCCTGAACATGCCCGCTCCGCCTCTGACTACAGGCCCCGCCCCTGGGGCTGAGTCGCTCTGCTCACTGGCCCCTTGGGCTAAGAGGATGGGCTTGGGACTCTTCTCTGAGCAAGTCTGTGGAGCCTAGACTTGGCCCCTGAAGGATGAACCCTGTTGCTGTCCCAACGGAAGTGCCGTCAATCACAGCCCATCCCCTGCTCTTCCTCTGCTGGGGAGTTTCACCGTGGAAGATATGGGCAGAAGGGATTTCATTTTCTTACAGGGAAAGAGGTGGTGTCCCTTAAGGACGCTGAAGGAGAGAAGCATCCTTCCTTCCTGCACAGCCTTCGCCACCACGGTCATACTATACCCGTGCATGCCAGACTCTGCCCCACTTCCTGGGCTCCACAGCCAAGCTCCTGACCCTGGCCATGCAGCCTGTCAAGGCGGAAGGCCTCAAAGACCGGAAATACTTCCTGTGCCCTAAGGACAGAGGCTTGATAGGACTTTGGTGAAAACCTTCCCTGGAGGGTGCTGCATTTCAGACCCTCTGGGACTGGCCCTCAGGGGTCCTTAGCTTCAGTCAAGGCCACCCAGCTGTCCCAGCCCAAGACACTGCCTCTTCCCTTTGAGCCCAGTGACCTCTCACCTCTGGTCATGCCCCTTGAATGGGAGAAGGGAACAGGCTAGGAGTCCTGTTGCCTCACAACACGCTAAATCTGTGTGCCCGTGTATACGATGGCCAGACAGCACCGTGGCTGAGGTTATAACCATATGTGAGTATGATGTGTGTGGGGGACAATAAATGACCACCACAGTCTTTCCTGGCTCTTGATGTCTGTCCCCCAGCCACCGGTGTCTCTTGACTCAGACTGTGCAGCAGAGCCCCCCAGATCCACATGGGGGAGGGTGGACATCATGGGGGAAGGCTGGAGCTGGTGGGGAAATGGGGCTTTGAGCAGGAACGTGTGCATCACACTCATCTCTCAGCACTCCTGTCCCCAGAAGCAGCCCCCATCAGTCCAATAACACTCATATGTAGAGCTCCACTCATTCGCCGTCTATTTCACCACCTCCAAGCAGCCAATAGCCAGTCAGAGGCCTCTCATTTAGGCCTGTAAGAAGTCCCATCCAAGGAGTGGGGGGCGGGTAGGGTGGGGAGTAACACCAAGGGGACCCTTCCTCTAGTGGAAACCCCCTGGGCCTCTTCTCCAGGGGGTCAGGGAAGTGCCTCGCCGGAGGGTTGAAGCTGGGTTTGAGGTTCTGCAGAAAAGCAAGATGGGGCTGCCAAGGGTCCAGGTTGGAACATCCACCCTCCAAGCTCCACGGGTGTGAGGCGCGCTGAGGCAGGTCCAGTGAAGTTCTTCCCTTTAGAGAGGGTGCCTCAATTAAGGGGCTGGTACTCTGAGTATCGCGTGTGGCGCAGCAGCAGAATCAGGCCGCCCCCTAGCAGCATGAGCCCTGGAGTACCCAAGGCCACCGCCATGATGCCCAGGACCAGTGGGGACAAGGCATCCACTGGAGGGGAACCCACACCTAGGAGCATCGACCTAGAGCAAGCAGGGTGAAAAAGAGAAGTTAGGCAGGCCTGGGGATGCTGCTCTATCCTGCACATCAAACCCTCAGCCCGTGGAGGGAGTGCAAGCCCATTAATTACAGGTGAAGACATACGTCACAGGAGGGGTTGCACTATAGGTTATACAGCAATGAGAGGGGGGCAATCTAGGGATATACAAGCAATAGAAAGATTGGGATTGGGGGTATACAGGTGACAAGAAGGGTGGATCCTAGATTCAGGAGGGCAGCCTAACTTTGGGTGTCACTGAGGTTTGACCTGGTCTCTGGATCTCCATAGAAACCATTATCAGTAGGATGTAAACCCTACCTACAGGGAATAAGCCTTTAAGGAGAAGTAGTCCATTGTCCTTAACAGCAGGGAACGGGCCCTTCTTGAGGTGGGACCAGACAGTAGTCTGGCAACTCACTGCCTTCAGGGAGGAGGTCTCTAAGCATCTGACCTCCCACCATATGCTGGCAAATAGCCTCTAAAGCTTGGCATGTCTTTGGGGGAGACAAAGCTGGGAAAGTCTCTTTATGATCCCACATCGGCCCAGGCCCTGGCTCTCACCAGCTGAGGTAGAGTTGGTCCCAGTAGCCAGGGCCTGTGGGAGCCCCGAACGTCAGATTGAAGGCACAGAAGGTCTGGGGTCCAAAGAAGGCCCGGACAATGGGTGACTGGGGAAGGGGGTATGTCAAGGTGAGGTGAAGTGGCGATAGTTGGCAGGGCAGGGCTGATTCTCGACTCCCCTGCTTCTGAGAGAAAGCCACGGGTCGCCACTGCATGAAGCCTGACGGGCCGGAGCCCCACAGCAGCTGCTCCAACTGGGAAGGAAGATAAAATCATAAGACAGAGAAGTCTTCCTCTCCCCAACCCTCTCCCAGCCTCTGACAGGCAATGTGCTCGGGGAAGTGGGAATCCGAGGCCTGGCTCTAGAACTAACAGGCTGTGTGCCAGGGTCACTGGCTCTCTCATCTGTTGAAAGTGGGTGTTGGACTGGATGGGTAAGGGGTCTTTGTCTTGGTCGGACACCCTGCAAGCCTGCACCCAGTTCCTTCCCCCTAGGCCCCTGCAGACTCCACCTGCCGGAGCACAAGTCACCCAGCACTGCCTTCTGGCTGTCTCCTCCACCAGGAGCATCCGTGCCGGCCCAGGACTTGGCGGAACCAGCGTGCTGCTGCACGTTTGATGGACGGATGACTGCCGTCCTAATGGGGCCCTATGTTCCCACCGCACGCATCTCCCCTGGAGGCCTGACCTGGAAGACAGCAGGGGCATATTCGTCGTCGATGGAGTGCTGCTCCTGCAGGAAGGGACAGCTCGGGCCCTGGCTCAGGGTGGCCACCTCCAGCCCAAACAGGGAGCGGTTTCCCCGTGGAGAAACCCCAACCAAGGCCACCTCCAGCTGGCTGGTGTTTGCTGTATGCAGGAGGCGAGGGGGCTGGCTGGGTCGGCCAGGTCCAGAGAAAGCCTGGACCTAGAGAAAGAGGGGCACCGGGAGGGCAGGGAAGCAGATGAGTGTCTGTGCTTGAGGGCCACACCCATGGTGACCCTGTCCTTCACAAAGTAGCCTCCCCGCCTCATTCTCCACATCCTTACCCGGAAGGCCAGGCTGCCATTGGCAAAGGCTTTGGCAGGGTCGTCTCTGGGGCGGCCTCGGAATGTGGCGCTCAGGGTGGCAGGGTCCAATGAGCCATTGATTCTGTCCCAGGAGAACTCGGCCAAAGAGTAAGGGGGATATGGCTTTCCTGGGAGCTCTGCTGGTCCCTTGGACACGTGGGTGCTGTCAAACTCAAGCAGCTGGAGGGCAGGGGTGGGACAGGACAGGACTGGGCTTGCCTCTGTCCGGTTTCTCCTGGACCATACCACCCTGGTGGCATCTCCCCATTTTCTCCCCACCCCCGCCTCAGCTCAGTCACCACATCTAATAAAGATGAACCTTCTCCTGTGCAGCCTCCCCCGCCGCCCACCCCCACCCCCAACTCCTCCCTGGCTCCTCACCCTGGTAAAGACAAGGGCAGAAGAAAATTGGATGCTGTCCTTGGGAACAACCATCAGACCCCCCTCCTCGGGCTCAGGGGAGAGCAGGACGCTCCAGTTGACGCTCAGGGAGCTGTGGGGGGTGTTGGTGGCCACCAGCAGCACTGCTGGGGGCCCCAAGCTGCTCCACACATAGTGCAGGGTGGAGTTGGTGCCCACAGCCCGGATATGGAGCAAGTTCTTGGGGGATCCAGGCCCGCCAGGGATGACCTCCAGAGACACCTGGAACAGAGTAAGGCGAATGAGAAGGGAGGGCCAAGGGAACAAGACAGGCAGGATAGGAAGGGCTAAGCTTAGAGCTTGGGGAATGCTGGGGAAGGGGTAGGATCGTGGGGACCTAAATCAAGAGGCATGGCTGCGGGAATTATGGGAATCCTGGGGAAGGGAGAGGTGGGCGTGGAGGAGATGGGGTTCCAGCCAGACCTCCCCTGACCCTGGTGGACCATCCGAGCACAGGTGATGAGGGCAGAAAACGATCCAACGCTGGCCTGGACCAAGGGGGTCAGGTGTGAGTCAGGGTCCCACTCCATTCATCT